TAATGAAAAAATGGTATTCAAATGATACAATTTCTCGAGAAGTCATTTCCCATATGTAAGTGAAAATTCATTCAAGTATACAAACTTATGTAATTTTGGATTATTATTAATGCTGTTCATTTCTTTACGATTTATTTAATGCTCTGAACATAACATTTCTGAAGATTCCAAAAAATACCTACATGTAAAATAATAGTCTCGCTATTGTTTTTTAAATATAGTTTTATTATCAAATATATCATCATTTTATATTATAATTTTATTGATAAACAATTTTTCTTAAGTTTTTTATACTATTTTGATGCATATATAAAATAAATATTTCATTACTTTTTCTTATTCTTTTCATATCAATTTTAAAAATTTCAATAAAAAAATGATAAAAATTGTTTATTTGTCATCATTGCTTTTGAATACTATGAAAATACTGTAATATGCACCTACTTTGTGATTGAAACCACACGCTTTTCAAAGTACAATGCAACGCTTTTTAAAGTATATACAAGACACAAATGTCCAAGTCGTTCTTCTCTGGTGGTTGGCCTGGTACTGGGACTGGGAACGTGAAGGCCAAGCAATGTGGTTTGGACGAACTCGTGACAGGTCGTGCGTACACGTAGCGTAGAACATTACATTAACATGCGATTAGTCATAGTTTCTTTGCTTACTAGATATCTCGTAGATAAATAGAACTGACAATGAGTTATCTTAAACTACACTTAAGTAAATTTCCAAGAAAATGCGTAAAGGCTCTAAACTTTGCGACACCCCAATCGTGGCGCCGTAGCACCCTAAGGTGCCGCGGCACCCCGGTTGAAAAACACTTCACTAACACAAGGTGTGTTTCTATTTCAACACTTGGCGGTATTCCATCATTATTTAGTTACAACTAAATAAAGATGGAATACCGCCAAGTGTTGAAATAGAAACATACCTTGTGTTAGTGAATCAAAGAAATTAAGACAACACGGTTTCAGAAGATTTAAAACAATTTCAATACTTTCCCCGCTGTTATGTATAATACATAACAGCAGGGAAAGTAAAAGGAAACGAAGAATAATTTATTGTGACGTCGCTACAATGCCGTGCTACAATTTTTTTTATCATATTTTTAATGTACAGTGGGTGATCGGTTAACGAACACTTTCGCGAAAGATTTTTATGATCGGACAACGAACACTTCACTGAACAAACATAAAAAGAAGCAACGAAAATAGCAAATACCGATTGATTTTCCCTTGTCTTCAGGTAACAATTCGAAGCTTTTCGGAGCGCTGGAGACGTCGACACGACGCTCAGCCCGGAATATACTCATCGGATAGTATTCCTCCGAACTTTGAAACTCTCCCTTGTAATTCCAGCCTTTTATTTTTCTGACAGAAACAATTCTTTTATAGTATTCGCGAGACTGCCGGGCGGGCACTCGTTAAATTTTGCGTCAAGTTTTATTTTCGAAAGGTAAAATAGCAAAGGTAGAGAGTGGGCAGATGTCTGATGTTGCTGGGCAGTATGGTTTGAACAAAACTACAGTAGGTCACAGTTCAATCTTATCTAAGAAAGATACAGTATAATCAAGAAGACTCAAGCAGCTAAAGGAGTAACAAAAATCACTTCTGAGAAATAAAGAACATCGAAGAGTTCGTAATGGAATCTGAAACGGATCTGACGACAGAAGAACGCCAAGAACTCTTTATTGAAGAACACCAAGAAACTCGGCGAGATATGTTTTATTATGAAAAAGATTAATGCCGATATCTGCTATTAATTAAAGATCTTTTGAAAAAGTGGAGGATGCCAGATCAACGGTCTTAGAATGGCATATAAACCAGGTTGAGGTTAATAGGCTTGGGATCTCTACAATTATAATGCTATTAATTACTTATGAAAATCCTGAAGAAGAGAGAAAAGCAATCGACATTAGACAGATTCTTTAACCCCACAAACAAAAAAACATAACTAATAAAAATGCAAGACTGCATATGTATATGTATTTTTATTATTACATATAAATGAATGTAGTAAGAAAGTATATTTTAGTAATTCGAACACAAATCAATTATTGTATTTATTCAGATACTTGGCAAATCTCATCATTAAATTTTATTCAACTGAATAAAATTTAATGATGAGATTTGCCAAGTGTCTGACTAAATACAATAATTGATTTGTGTTCGAATTACTAAAAATTACTGGACACGGTTCTCTCAGCGATATTTCTTGAGAAGAAATCTTACCTATGGAAAATTTTCTTTACAAATTACGAACTGATTACGGGTATAAAGCTGCTTGAGGGTATCATTTTTGTTTGCTAATTTATAAAAGTCGGAGTCTTCTATTCTAACAACAACTGCCAACACATTTCGGGTATCCGTACGGCCACGGTCAACATCAGGGACTTTTATGATCGGACAANACAAATTACGAACTGATTACGGGTATAAAGCTGCTTGAGGGTATCATTTTTGTTTGCTAATTTATAAAAGTCGGAGTCTTCTATTCTAACAACAACTGCCAACACATTTCGGGTATCCGTACGGCCACGGTCAACATCAGGGACTTTTATGATCGGACAACAGTACACCAAAAGAAAGTATATATTTTTTATTTTTTTGGGGGTCTCCAGAACGAATTAATCAAATTCCCATACGAACGTATGGTAAATTGATAATCGGTTAACGAATAATTCGGATAGAGAAAAAAGTCTTGGAACGGATTATGTTCGTTAATCGACCACCCACTGTATTTAACTTAAACTATGTGCTCTCCACTTCAAATTAGCAGTGGCTTGCCCCTGTACATCATACTTTCCCGTATGCAATGGAGTTATGCTGGTCATCTGTCTAGCTCCTTTTAGAAGAAATTTTTGAATTGAAATATCATGTCCACTTCGCATATAGTTAATCGGAGCCTCCTGCCCCAAACTTTCAATATCTGGTCTCGTCTTTCGTCTATCTAACGCCATTCTCTGCATTAAGGAAAGACAATGGGAATTTATAGGTGTACAATTTTTTCAAATTGCAGCCCAATAATGCACAATAGCAGTGACAAAATTAGATAAAAAGTGTTTATTTTTGTTTGAAACTTATAAAAATCGCAGTGATAAAGACAAATCAAATTTATAATAGAAAACAAAGAAGTATCCTAGATTATTTAAAAAAAAGTTTATAATTTCCTTATCTTTGTGTAAAATTGTCAAAATGTGTTTAAAATAAACCAGCAACCAGTTGCTTACTTTCCCGGTAAATTTAAAATTTTGGTGACGCCATCTGTTAATGTATTTTATAAAATTTTTAAAATTATTATAAAACAGCAAAAAGCTTAATTTTGAGGGCAGGGATGAGTTTTGTAAAAAAATAAAAGTAAATGCTGATAGAGTAAAATCGTCATTAAGTCCGCCCTATTGGAGATACACACGACCCCATTATCTTTCCACCCTCTCGACATTTAACCACCAAAATTTAATATCATCAATCCCCTTAATAAACAAATCTCCCTGCAAAATTTCAGAAATTTTCGACAAAAAGCACAGGAGTTAAGATTCAAAGAGGGTGAACAAAATCGTGACCCCCACACATACACACCTTAACATTTATATAGAAATTACCCCCGAATTCTTTTTGCATTTCTCGACGTTTTAAGGTGTCCTAAGTCCAAAAATGTAAACATCTGGAGGGGGGGTTATTTTTTGCCGAATCGCCATACTTTCCCTGTTATAATAGCCGGGAAAGTAAATAGTGATAGTTACCAAAGATTTTGAAGGCCCACAGCGCACGATGGCCTCTTTTGGAATTTCTGAAGTTTCTCTCGAACAGGTTCTAGATCCATCTTGGGAAGAGCCATTTTATCTTTACAAACGAGTCTTAAAACTACGTTATAATTGCACATTCTCTCATAGCTCTTAAGCGATACGAAGAACGTCTTCTGTTCTTTGACGAGCATTAGATTGCAACTGAACAAATTCTTTTCCATCGAAGGCGAGGGGATAATCTCGAAACGATTAAAAATTTGTCAAAACACTATCGATTATTTTTGTTTTCTTTAGTGCACCTTTTGAAAGTTACTGACTGTTCCTTATTCTTTTTGAGGGGCAATATCCACGCCGTAATGTAAATATAATTCTGGTCTATTTTCATTTCAAAGAAGTTGCTTATGATCCTTAAGCTCTTGCCAGTGTACCCCAAATCCCGGTCTCGGTAGGAAAATATCCCGGAAATTAATATTCTTCCACCTTGCAATTACTTTATCACTCCAGTTTAATTAATTGTTTTATTTTAATTTAATTTACTTAAGTTCTATGAAGTTTTAAAATTTTCGCTTATTTTTTTCTTACTAAATGATTTCTTATGCAAATTTAAGTTGTTAAAATATAAATAGTAATAAACAATGAAACAAATTTTTATTGCATGTATAAATATATTGTGATTTTACATAACAATTAAATATAAAAATAAATTATATTTAATAATGTTGCAATTTGACACAATATTGCATAGCTTAACGTTTTACACTTTTTATGCCAGTTTTTTTTAAAGTAAAAAAATTCAAATAAGATTTTAATAACAATTTATAACTTAATTATTCCAGGTTAATAAATGCACCTTTCCATTTTTAGTACCACACATTATCAAGACCTGTAACAGATTTTCTGTTGATTTTACTTGTTTTGTTGTTAGAACTACAACTGGTAATTGAAGAAAGAATTGTCCTACCTAAAAGAATAAAAAATAAATTTTATGTAAATTAATTTCAAATATGCCCTATTAATCATAATATTTGAATTACATTAAGCATATAATGATAAACATTTTCAGTTTGTCATTGTAAACTTAATGTTTACAGTTAATGACAAAATTTTATTTGTTTACCATTAATTTGTGAAGCTTTAAATAAGTAATAATTTTTTTTGTTTCATTATAAATAAAAATATTAATATTTTTCAAGTTAGTTTAAGTCAGTATGATCCAACTTAGTCTGCAGATAGTACTACCGTTGGCCTCTTTGTGTTCTCTGAGAAATAAGGGGCCTAAAACCAGAGCTGTAACTAGCCATTCCTGTGCCCTGTGCAAGAATTTGCAATTAGGCCCCTTAATTTATTTGGTTTGGGAAAATAATAAAACAAATATATTACAATAGATTTTTAATAAGATTTATTTTAATTGAACTTTTCTGGCTTTCATTTCAGCAAATTCATTAATTACATGATCATAATTAATATTTTTAATGATAATGTATTCTATTGAAATAATAGAAATATTGGACAATCGTTCTTGCCCGATAGTTAATCTTAATAAATTTTTTATTAATTTTAACTTGCTAAAACTTCTCTTGCACGAAGCAATAGAAACGGGAAGAGTTAGAAATATTCGACGAGCGACATTGCTATTTGGGTAAGACTCAATTAAACCAAAATCATGAAGAGCCTGTAGAATATTAAGAGGAGATGCAGTTTCTATATTTTGTATAAGAGTCGTTACTTCAAACTTAAAACTTTCAATTTCACTTGTGAATTCATACTTTTTTAAATCTTTGCTATATTTAATAGTGAGATCTGCAGCTGATTTTTTTTTTAAATCAGCAACACTCATGTATTGTAAAGAAGAGCCATAGAGAAAGGAAAAATCAGCCTTTTTTCAGTATCATTTTAAAGACCTCAGGGGCCCCTTCGAGGCCATTCTCGGCCTCGAAGAATTCATTCATTCCTATGTACATTATGATCATACAGATTTATTGGCTGTTCTCTCTAAAATCCCATACTGATAATTTCAAGAAGTGATTTTCAAAAGTTCTAAGGATTAAAACTTTATGAGGAAAGTTCTGATTTATTGAAAAAAAGTTCAACTGAATTTATCCAGTAGATACTAAAGAGAATCAAAAGCTTTGATCTACAAATGAAATTATATTTTATAATTTTTGAATAAACTTTTTCTTCCTAGAAGTAAACAAACTTTTCAGAACTTTGAAGTTCATAATTAAAGAATAGATATGAAATTTCAGAGATTCTCTTTTCGAAATACTGTCTTTCCATTTGAAAAAATTGTTTTTCTGTCTGAACATAAAGTTAATTTGATAGTCTGATGCATGATATAAGAATTATTATAATAAAATTTGGATATTATACATATAAAAACTTAGAATTTTTATTTTGGAAAAACAGCATTATTTACTTAATTTTTTTTACAATTATTCTGATTACTGATATTAATAGCTTTCTGTCAGAAAACAGAATAACAAGTTTCATTAAGCTAATACAGTATTAAACACAATGAATCTCATATTTTCAATATAATTGAAGTTTTAAAATGTGAATTGAAGTTTATAAATCTTAAGATCATATTAGTTTAAATAATTATTCACCATATATTTCTTAATTTGGTAGTTTAATCTGATTATGAATGAAAATAGTTCAATCTTTTACAGGACATTTACTTAGTAAACTGAACATTTGATTTAATAAATAAATGTACTGGGTACGAATGAATTCTTTTTATTTCATAATACATATAAAAAATGTAATTTTTAAAGAGAATTATTTAATTAAATCTAAAACGTTTTAGCTATCTGATTCTTCATTATCTGTAATACACAAAAGAAAATCATAAATTTTTATAGTTTGCTAGTAGTTGTAATTCTAAAAACGGTTACTATAGTTAAATTAAAAATTCTGATTAATAAGTAGGCTGACCATGTATTCAGCTTTCAGCAGGATAGCACCATTTATAACGGTCATAAATTTGAATGGAGGATACTGCTGAGGAATATCCTGTTAGGCAAGAAATACAGAATAGTTTCAATGAATTTAAGGAACATAAGAAATGAATAGAAACAAACAAAATTTGATTATTTGATAAATGGGTGCTAGCTCATTAACTGAATAATGAAATGGGCAATGCTAATAAGAACAATAATAACCAAACACTTGGAGAAACTGTATGAAGAAAAAATTGATATAGCCGACAGATTATATTTAATGAAATGTACAAAAAGAATCTTGAATTCCAAAATTTCAATAATTAGTCCTTTATTTTCCAGGAAGTACAGCTTTTGTTAAAGAATATTTTCACTCATGAATTCCATGTAATCAAAAGAGAAGTTGAGATTATATATCAAAGCCACGAAAATGCTAATTAAAATCAAAATTACAACTTACAATGCAATAAGTTTTATGATAAAATTATGAGTTGACCAGAACTTATTAAACAAAATTAGTTCATCTAAAAAATATGCTAGGCTCTAGAAAACTTTTTACATCAAACTATTAGATTTGATATCATATTATAATAAAAATAAAATCTTTTAGAGAAATGTGTGTATTCTTTTTTTTACACTACGAAATCAATGACACTAATAATGTACTAATAAATTTTTAATAATGCTGATTTATATTTCTCAAAAGAATTTTAATAAGAGAGTCTGTATTTATTAGCTGCTGCTCTCCTTTCCGTTTTGGCATTAAGAAATTATGATCATCCTATTAATAAGAAAATATAAGACTTTTGTTACCATATGTATATTCTTTTTTTTTATATTAGATACATAACAATTACTTTTAGTGTTGACTGGTATTTGTTATCATCATATTTATTAAAATAAACTTTTACATATGAACAGTCATTTCTAATTCAAAATATGACATTCATCACTGGAAATGAAACACACTAATTCTTTTGCCTGGAAAGAATTCAACAGTAAATTTAGAACTTTGCTTGTTTATAATAGATATTCCTCAACAAGTAGTTAAACCAGTGATTCCCAAATTTTTTGATCCACCTTCCCCTTTGTTCCATAAAGTTAACCCAACTCCCCCTAACCCATTTTCTCTTGTGTGAGAAAGGATTAGAAATATTCTTAGGAAAACTTTATGAATATCACACTTTGTGCCGTTACCGTACATTGTTCTCAACATCTGGAAATCATTAAATGCAATGTTTCCTCTTATCAGTTTAACAGAGGAAAGGGAACAGATTTCAGGACCCCAATTTTGCCTTTGGTCACCATTCAATACCCTGCCTCCAGCGCCCCCCTAGATTTACTCATCGCCCACTTTGAGAAACACTGAGTTAAATGATAAATTTTTAATTGATACAATTATTTTATTGTGACATCATCATAATGCTAAGCTGCAATTTTTAATCATATTTTTAATTTATTTAATTTAAAATGTATGCTCTCCACCTCAAATTAGTACTGCAATGTCTTGCCCCTGTACTACATCATACTTTTCTGTATGCAATGGAGTTGTGCTGGTCATCTATCTAGCTCCTTTCAGGGAAAATTTTTGAATTGAAACATCATGAGGTCCAGTTTGCATCAGAAGTTGCATTGGTGCCTACAGCCCTAAGGTTCTCATATCTGGTTTCATCTTTCATCTATCTAACTCCATTCTTGAGATTAAGGACAGACAGAAGGACGAATGGATGGACAGACAAATGATAGTGGAAATTTACAGGTCTACAATTTTTTCAAATTTAGCCCAAAAACTTCATTTTCAATATAGTATTTAAATTTACCACTCTTATTACAAATTACATTAATGAACTACTGCTGCAGAAATACATTAATTCCAATTTACACAGTACTGTTTAATTACATTAACATTAACAATTTGTAGTGTAGTGCTATGCTACTGTGTTATATATCGTTTTTCTATAAGTTCTATATTATTCTAGCGCGTAAGCAGTTTCCATTAATTTTGTATCAGGATCGACTTTTTGTATATTAATTTGTGTTGTATTCCTTTCATTCCCTGGTACCACCGTTTTTCTTTATTAAACCAATCTGAACCTGTTGATTGGTTCAGAGTGTGATCACATGCCAAAACGGAACTCCTGGATGTAGGGAAG